GCCAGGAGCCAGGAGCTTCTTCCAGGTCTCCCACGTGGGTGCAGGGTCCAGGGACTTGGGGAATCTTCTACTGCTTTCCCAGGCCATAGCAGAGAGCTGGATTGGAAGCAGAGCAGCCAGGTCTCCAACCAGCGCCCATATGGGATTCCGGTGCTTCATGCCAGGGTGTTAACCCGGTGCGCCACAGTGCCGCACCCCACCCCCCCTTTTTTAAACGATTTATTTATTTATTTGAAAGACAGAGTTACAGAAGCTGAAAGGGGGAGAGGGCAGAGAGAACGGATGAAATATCTGTTGGTTCACTCCCCACATGGCCGCAACGGCCAGAGCTGAGCTGCACTGATCTGAAGCCAGGAGCCTGGAGCTTCTTCCAGGCCTGCCACATCGGTGCAAGGGCCCAAGGACTTGGGCCATCTTCCACTGTTTCCCAGGCTACAGCAAAGAGCTGGATCAGAAAAGGAGAAGGATCCCTGGTCCACAGACAGCAACTTTACCTGCTATGCCACTATGCGGGCCTTTTGTTTTTTAAGATTTATTTATTTATGAAAGGCAGAGTTACAGAGAGAGGGAGAGACAGAAAGAGGGAGATCTTTCTTTGTTAAGGAACTGGTATACTCCGCACCTTTCTGGTGAGTTTTTAACTGGATCTATCTGGTAAAAGTGATCACTTGGTGTGAAAAGGATGAAGCTCTGGCCAGCACTGCGGTGGCAGCAGTTTGAGACCCAGTTGTTCCGATTACAACCCAGCTCTCTGCTAAGGCCTGGGAAAGCAGTGGAAGATGGCCCAAATCCTTGGGCCCCCGCGCCCATGTGGGAGACCAAAAGAAGCACTTGGCTCCTGGCTTCGGATCAGCTCAGTTCCAGCAGTTGTAGCCATTTGGTGAGTGAACCAGTGGATGGAAGACCTCTCTCTCTCTTTCAAGTAAATAAAATAAATCTTTTTTAAAAAAGAAATAAACAATACTGTTATTATTGCTAAAGTACTAGATTTGAAATCTCATGTAATTCTGCCTAAATTGTAGTCAGTTTTAGGATTTGTTATGAAGCCTGCTGTGCTATTAATAATAAAATATCAATTATGATTTAAGTTATTCTGTTATTGTTAGGTGAATATTTTTTATAAGCTTTAATAAGATGCCTCAGCATTTAAGGTTTAAAATCTAAAATCATATTCATGCCAAATATGTAGGACATATTTTTCATAATTGTTCTTGTCCCTTGGGTCAGTAATTCAGTTTATAATCATCATAAAATTTTATTCTTAATTCTTTTTAATTTATCAGAAGGAAAATATGCATGGTTATTACCCAATTAAAATACTCCTGATGCTTTTAAGGTAGACATTATGAGGTTTTTGGGGTTTCACCGAAGACAATTAAAAAAAGAAAGAGCAGCTGCATGACTTCAAAGTATTTTTGAGCGCTCTGAGTTTGCAGAGATATTCAGCTGTCCGCCAGTGCCCTGTTCCCACCTGTCCTGTTCTCATCGCATCTGTGATGCGATCAGTGAATGATCTGAACATATTACCCATGTAGTAAATTCAGAGCAAATGACCCAAAGTAGAACTTTCATTCGGTAGCCCTAGCGAATCCTTGCTGGTACTCAGGCCCCCTTGGCTTATGGGTGCTAAGTGTGAGGACTAGGGAGTAAGTCACCGAAACACTGTAGAGAAACACGTGGATCTGAGTCTATCTCCTAGGCTGATCAAAGTGTCACTTGCTCTATGAGGGACACAGAGGTATCTCCTGGGAATAGATGCTTTGTGACAGTATTTGCTGAGGTATTTTCTCTTGATAATACACATACTTTTAGCTAAAGACAGTTTGGTTGGTGTCTTTACACAAACCAGCAGGAAAGGCTCTGTTACAAGGCTACAATTTCTTCCAGAAAAAATTACATGGGTCAAAGAAATTAATATCCATAAAAGGACAATGCCTGGTCATCAAAATTGCATTCCAATTCACGATGAAAGAATTACAAACAGAATCCAGCCTGACACTCCTTTGACAATCTCAGTAACTGTCTGTTAGCGTCTCTGTCTGATCATAGAATTGTATTGAAATATAGTTTCTTCCCCTACCTTATCAGAATATCTTAATTTCACGTACAGATGTGTTTAGTTCTGACAAACTTCATAAAATTCTAAATGTTTACTTACTGTCAAGGTGAAAACACTCTTGATGAGAGGCACAGTGAAAATGCCTTATTTGTGCCCAGGGTTTCAAAACTTGCCAAGTTCCTCTACAGAAAACAAGTTGGCTTTGCAGAGGGTGGGAGCACAAGGCTTAATTCATGGATGTGGTGAAGGCAAATTGGGTTATTTAAATAATACATGCAAATGGCTTTCAGTTGTAGGGTTACGGCACAGTTGACAAAGAACTTTGGCATATGTTGTGCCATTTGGTAAAAATAAACATACCTACCATTCCTGAAAGCAATCCAGTTGTCTACCATTACATTGTTCATTTGTGGCTGATATTTTAATTTTTTTTTTTTTTTTCACTTTACTTGAAAGGCAGAGAGACAGAGAGATCTTCTATCTACTGGTTCACTTTTCAAATGCCCACAAGAGCTGGAGTTCGGCCAGGCTGAAACCAGGAGACCAGAACACAATCCAGTTCTCCCACGTGGGTGGCAGGGGCCCAAGCATTTGAGCTAGCTATCATCTACTGCCTTCCCAGGTGCCTTAGCAGGAAGCTGGCCTGGAAGTAGAGCAGCTGGGACTCAAACCAGCACTCCAGTATGGGGTGTCCCAAGAGGCAGCTTAATCTGCTGAGCCACAGCACCTGCCTCAGGATGCATTCTTAAGTAAAAATAATATCACGTTTTTAAAAGGACATTTGTCGGTTTATTGCCTAAACAGGTTCCAGCCACCGCGGCACATTTGGCACCAGCGATGTGTTTTGCTTCAGCGTGCAACTCCAGTGCCCGAGCACCAGTTACTCCGGTTCTAAAGGACTCAGCATGTTGATATACAGCTCCTCGCTACGAAAGCTTACCTTTTTATGGCTTCACCTAGGTGAGCGTATGGCTCCGGGCCTTTCTTTTAGGCTCTTTGACCTAGAGGAATGAGCACGGGCAGGCACTGACTTGTACAGGACAGTCCCACAGCTGCACGTCTCACGGCGATTGCTGAGCTGGGAAACTCCAGCCAGGGAACGCCGAGTCATCCAGTCTTTGGGAAAGGGGACACAGCCCCCAACTCTTAAGGAGGCCAGCCACACAGGTGACAAACTGCTGCACTTCAAAGACAGGAAATCCCTTCAAACGTTAAATTGTTAAGGACACGAAATGACCTACATTCAGGAAAACGGGGAGCCAGTCATTGAGCATCATGTTTGTTCCAGCTTAACGAAGCGTGTTTGGTGGATATTAACGCGGTCCCGAAGAGCCTTCCTCCAAGGCATGGCAGCCTTTTCCTCCAGAAACCCACATTTCCAAGAGCTTATTGTTAAAAAGCCACTTGAGTTCACATCAGATGAAAATTACCATGTAAAGACTCTCTCTGGGCCAGTTTTCACCCTTAAAATTAGTCTGGTTTAAAATTACAATTACTCAGAATGTTTGAGAAACTATGAAATTGGTTTAAAGTCATCCAGAACATCAAAACCAAGGGCAGGCATCAGGCTACAGCGCAGCCTTGGAAAATGCATAGATGGGACCTTAGGGTTTGACAGCGTCTGGAAGCACCCCGATATCTGGATATCTGGACTCGGGATTCCCCGGCGGTTCTGCCAGGCTAAGAATGTGAAGTCTAGATGGATTTCTTGCCAATCCTCAAAAGTACTTAGGGCTGCGTATGTAACAGTTTGAACCTTGGGTCAGTATTAAATTCTCATCCAATTTGCTCTGAATAAATGGGAGGTTGGGGGTGGGTTCGGTTGAAGGGGGCAGAGAAATGGTGTGTGCTATTTTCTCTGTGTCAGAGCCTCTGCCTCCCTGGTGTGTGGACGAATTACCGAACAAATGTGCAAGCCGCAAGGAAGCGGATGGGTGAAAGCCAATCTTGGAACAAAAAAGTTGCCCTTCCGTGTTTACATTTTCAAAAAGGGAAAATCCGAAAGGGGTTGAGATTGGAAAATTCCTGGGCAACCAAAAAGCTTAACCCACATTCCATAGCTTTATCAAGTTAAGCCTCTCTGAGCAAGAAGGTCAAAGTGAACTCTGCTTCCCGCTCACAAAGCGAGTCAACTTATTTTGTATGTATAGCTATAAACTGTTTGCAAGTTTCCTAAGTCAGGCACTCAGGATGAATTATGAATGGAATTAGCTAGCTTGACTTGGAATTTCCTCACTTTTACTGGTCTTTAAACAAGATTTTTATACATTCATATGTAATCGATGGGACCAACACGTGAAATGGCCCCTCACATAAAACACTCTGTTTTAGAGTGATTTTGCTGTGAAGCAACTTAAATATGAACTTCCAGTGTGGAAAAGGTGGATTTTACATGCTGCTTGGAGACGGATCTGGAGGACCGATGAGCTGGGCCACAAGATTTGTGTCAGAAGCTGAAATTAAGTTTATATTTTAAAATACAATTTTAAAAGCTAGCTTTGCTTTCATAAAAGCCAATCTGTTTCTCAAAGCCTTAGCCACCTTAAGAATGCATAAATTTGGTATTTGGTTTTGAAAGTGCAGGGTAGAATAATTTAGGTATTCATCAGTAGCTGAAGAAAATCCTTCCTGAGTGTAAAACTACCTTTAAAATTATCATCCAAAGGAGTGAATGTATACCTTCTGTTTTAATTTCAGTTATTAGCTATTTCTTATAGCTAATCGGCACTGTCTTAAAATTTTTCTACAACTGGTGCATCCAAATTGATTTCAACAGCAATTTGTGTGCATAAAAAAATGAGGTGAGGATCAATGCCAACTTTTACGGAGAGAAGTGAACTTGGATTTCTTTATACTCCAAGGCAAATGTTCAAATTTATCTCATGGATATCAAAAGAAGATTATTATAATAAACTCAGCTGTTTATGCAGAAAGCAACATGGAACAAATTCCAATACTTTTATTTATCGTATAACTTATGTAACATTTAAAACAAAGGTACTAATTAAAACACACATAAGATTTTCAAAGTTTAAAAAACTATTAAAAAACACTTCTGCAACTTAGCATATAATTGCTGGTACATTTTAATGGTCCTCCCTCTAGATTTCAGTGGTAAAATGCATTTACAAACTTCTTCTCAAATCCCTCAAACATTTAAATGGCCGAGAATATTCCCTTTTCGTCAGGATACATTAAGAGTATCTACTACCTTTACAGAACCGAATGTTACACTGATAGTATTTGTATGCTTGACTACCCCACTTCTGTTGGATAAAAATAGTGTCTGAGTTTTTAATTTTTTTGAAGAGGGACAAATGGCTTGGCAGAACCACTTTAAAACATGTTTTTACATTCAATTAAAATGTGTAAGTCCCCCAGTTTCTTGACACAAATGTTTTTATTGTACAATTTTAGATAGACTTGGAAATCCTCTTCTCTCCATTCCAATCCTTGAAGGGGTTACATTAATCTTATTTAAAAATTAGGGAAAACAACCACACTCACGGATCTAGCTGGAGAGAGTCAAAACTAATAGTTGAGATGTTTCCATACTTGCGAAAATACTTTTTGAAGGACTTATGAACTTCAGCCCGAAATGTGAGCTCCGAGCAACATCATACAAGCACCAAGTCTCCTCCTGAAATCCATAAATCAATGCAGAAATGTTTATCATAAATTCTTTAATGCAAAACCGAACCATTGAGAAAAGCCCAGGCAGGGAAACATTGGCTTCTGTCCTCCCATAAACACACGTTCAAAGGCAACGCTGACCCTCATGACTGCTCTGGGCGTTCAGAGGCTGAGGGGCAGGCGGCAGCGCCTGCTGCCCGATCCCGGGAGGCAGGTTCGAGGCGGCAAAGTGGCATCTTATTCTGTATCTCCATCCCTTTTAATTCGTCTTGATCGGCTTTCCGTCTAGGACGGCGAACGTCAAAGCACATTCAATTGTATCTGTTGGCTTTTTGAAAACCTCCCTGCTCCAGGCTATTTCAAATTCAACCCAGAACTTTACAAATGACAATAAGGAGATTTAAATAATAATAATAAAACTGTTAAACTCCCCCCCCCCAACTTTTGACCACAAAAAAAGTTCCAAAACACCGGCAAGCAATTTCAACAGTAAATTGATCATTTCAGGCTGGAAACATCCAGTGGACCCTGCTTATCCAGAGCCCCCCAGAGGCTCCGTCTGCCCTGGGACAGCGCCTCGGCACCCTCACCGTACCCCCTTGGTGGCTGGGAGCCGGTGCACAGGCGCGCAGCCGCCACGGGCACCCCGACAGCCTCAGGCTGCCACCTACACGTGGCGCCTCTAGGATTTCCTGACGGACTTATTTTAAAAATATTTACTTTCTGGCAAAAAAAAAAAAAAAAAAAAAATAGCTACAGTAGTTTAGAAGCTTGGCCAGCCCTGAAGAAAAGCACGCTGCAAGACGCGTCCCTGCCGGCATATTTCCGACTTCCCCAACTTCTACCTCGCCCACTGCTAGCGACGCTCCAGACGCAGCGTTGGCCGCTTGGGGACCTGCACACACGACCTGGCACGCGGGTGAGCTCTGGCCCAAAAAAATGCGCCCCTCTCCCCAGCCCCGGGCACCGTGAGCAACGCCTTTCTCCCTCGAGGAAATACTTTTCCGAGCTCGCACCCCTCGTTACCAACCTGCGCGGGCCCGTGGGGGAGGGGAGGCGAGACGGGCGCGGGAGCCGCTCTCGTCAGCAAAGCCAAGGCCGGCGGCAAGGGCGCGCGCGGGCGTTCCAGCCGCTTCCTGCCGGGTCCAGCGGCCACTCGGAACAGCGCGGAGCGGACTGGGGCTTCTTCCCCGGGTGAAGCTTCCACGATGGGCTCGGGGGTGACCTCCCCCCCAGCGTGGGCGTGGGCCGCGCCAGGGCACGGCGGGAACCAGGTGCCCGCCCGCGCCCCTCAGCAACCACCCAGAGCGAGGCGCGAGGGTTCGAGCCTCAGGCGGGCGGCCCAGCGGGGCTGAGGGACCCGCGGAGAGGGGCGCCCAGGGCAGCGGTGCACGCTGAACTCCGGACCCGGGGGTGGGGGCTGGGCAGCGGAGAACTCGCTCCGGGAGCTGCCGCGTCCACCCCAAACGCACTTGAACCAGCCGGGCGTCGGCCGCGCTCGTTCCTCGACTTCCCTGGGGCGGGGCTGGCCAGTCCTGGGGCGCTCGCTTGCGCACCCCACCCTGACCCCCGGGGTGTAGCATCGCCCAGCCCAGAGCTTCCCACTCCCGAACCCCCAATCTGAAAGCCGAGATCCAGGGCCGCCTGCAGCAAGGCTCAACTTACACTTCATTTTCTTTTGATTTGGAGAAAATGTCACTGCAGAGGAAAACACACGCGGCGCGCGCGCTCGCACACCAACCCTAACTGTAACTAGGACTTGGGGCGGGGGGCGGCCAGGGCGAGGCCCGCGCGACTGCGGGCGCGGGGCGAGCGGCGTGGGCGCCCGTGCGGGGATTCCCGGTCTCGCAGCGCGCCCTAGCGGACGCCCTTCCGCTCGCCGCGCCCCGCGACGCGCGCCGGCTCTCCCCGCGCTCATTACAATCTGCAATATATTATTTCTTCCGAAGTATTGACAATGTGTGAGACTCCAGTAACCCCGGAGCTCTTGTCTGGACTCAGCACATTCATTCACATTTAGGGGGAAAAATCCGAATTAAATCCCCGTGACCCTGATTGGGTTACAGTGTCATTTTTTTCCCCCTGGATCCTCTTTTAAATCCACTCCACACTGCTTCTCTGTCTATTACATGCTAATTTAATTTTACTGTGGACGATATTTTCAGCATTTGCTGAGGACAGTAAATTTTGTAGTTTATGTTATTTCACTTTTTATGACTTTTTAACACTTAATAAAATTTTATTAGAGCACTTTTGTGTTTACAAGGCCACAAAACTCTTGGCAGGTTGTCAGAAGTCCTTTTTATTATGATCCTACTGATATACTGCGAGTAATGAAATAATCATGTCCAGAAATGTATCAAAGGCCAGAGGGATTATCCCACTTAATAGCTCCACAGATGCGCCCAGAAGAATGCGGCCCGCGGCTGGATGGGCTGCGAGGCGAGGCGGCAGAAGGCGGGCGGCAGCCCCCACTCGCGTCTTTACCATTTCGGTTGCTTTCCTAAAAGGCTACATGCAGGGTCATGTGACTTTCCGCGGTCTCAATAAAAAAAAAAAAGAATTTATTCTATTGCAAAGTGTGCTTTTCTTTTTATTCTCCTTGTGTGGGCATTTAAGGCTGCTCTAGTGGCGGTGGGGCTGGTTCAGCGTCTCCGTGTCAGTCACTTTCCTCTCCTTTCTAAGTGCACTTTTGTGGCATTTAAGCAGGCGATGGTGACATTGGTGTTGAGCCGGGCGGCTTCCAGAGCCAGTGCTGAAGGCGTTGGGAGGGACCCAGAAGGGCTCCAGGTGTGTTCAGGTCCTTTTCCTCCTGCCAGACAACACCTTTTGCCCTTGCTTTTTGGTTTTACTTTGTTTTGCAAAACAGGGGAATGAGGACTTGAGTTCTCTGCTTTCTGCCTGAACCAGAGAGCCACAGCATGCTGCTTTTATTTTAACTTTTTTTTTTTTACTATTATAATTTTTGGTAAGACATGCTATGAGAAGAACTGAGATTTTGCAGCTTTTAATTCTTTAAAATTTCTTTTCTTTTTCTTTTAACTAGATTCAGGATCACTTAACACACTGGTGTTAAGTCCATGCTTGCTGCAAAAGGAGATCATTGTATGTCCTGACCCTGAAAGCAAGGTGGGTGGCTTCGTTTTATAACTAAATTTTCAGTCTCCAGCTTCCTAGTTCTTTTTCTGTTATTCCCTAAATAGTGTGCCAAAGTGATGGGGAAAAACAAAACAAACAAACAAAAAAAACAATGAGGAATGGACTCATAGATGGAGTGACTGAAATTACTGTGGCTCTGTCTATAGCACGTGTTTGTTGAAACTTTGACTTTGAAAGGACTTTGGCAGTGTTTTCCGCAAGAACGCATGTGCACGTGTGTGTGCATGTGTGTGCATGTGTATGTGTGTGTGTGTGTGTGTCTCATGTTCCAGTATATCACGTTCGTATTGGGTAATCTGTCCTTGTTTCAAACGACCCCTGGGAAGCGTGTGCCTCTCTCTGGATCTCCCCCACCGCACACATACGTGCTGTCCCATTTGGAGCTACACAGGGCAGCTCCTGGGGGCTCTTTGATTTCCGCTTCCAGGGAGCGATTTTGTTCTTTGTAAGTCATTTGCTCCTGGTCCAGCCGTCTGCTGTGTGCCTGTGATGGTCTGGTTCTGAGAGGAGCTGATGAGGGCTTGCACCCATCCCTTTAAAAAATTATGTGTTGAGACTATTTGGGAAGCCATTTTTCTCTTTTAATGGTGTTTTCCATTTGAAAATTTCAGGCAGTTTTTCTTCCCTCTCTTTTTCAAGTGAATTCTTTAACAGAGTTGCAGAACTAAGAAAGGAAGTAATGATAGGCTCTGAGTAAACATTCCTCCTTCCTTCGGATTATTACTGATGGTCTGTGTGCTTTGTCTTTTACCGCAAGAGATACACAGCTTGTCACAGCAAAGCGCTCAGATCTTGGCTGTCCAAATTTCTGAGTGTTTTACATATGGGAATTTATGCCCAAATGCAAGAATCAAGGGGAGCATATTAATTTTTATTCTACAGAGTGACAGCTCAATTTTATAAGTACTTTGTGTCTAGGACAATTTAAATAATACTCCAGAGGCTACAATAGATTTTACATTAGAAATCTATTTTATTAGGTTATGAAGTAAATCTCCCCTAAGATAGATATTTTTAGTTCATGCAGGTATTGTGTTCTTGTGACTCTTGTTCAGAAAGGAGAGAACTGAGTGTAGGTAGAACTAAAGGAACACACCCTGGCCAGTGGCGGGCCTACCTGGTGCTGGCGGCAGGGATCTCACAGATACTTTCTAAAGTCTTCAGTGTTGAAAGGAAAGGGAAGAATGAGTTCCCAGTGCTGGCACCCAGTGAATCCATCTTTAAAAAGTGGAGGAAAGGAACCAAGCCAGAGGCATGAAGCGGTCCCATACATGGACAGGTGCTGGCAGGAGGCAGCAAGACATGGGGCTGGGTGGGCAAAGCCCAGGACGGCTGGCGTCATTCCTGTCCTGTCCTGCTGCGTGTGACTCGTGTAGCTTTACTTCTCCGTGCTCAGTTTCTCCCTCTGTACAATGGGATTGACACGAGGACTCGTCTCCTAGTTTTGTTGAAGAGTTAAAAGAGTTAGTCCATGTAGAATACTTAAAACAGACCCTGACTGTGTTGGAATCTCCGGGAAGACCAACCTGGCCATCACCTAGCACAGTGCTTGGCACGCAGTGGGTCCGTAAATCTTTGTTGCACGAGGGTTGGGTGCTATGTCATGGACTGTCCTAGATTTCTTGGATGTGACGCCGGGGCATGCCTGAGCAGTGTCAGCCTCATGTGTGGATTTGACTTTACTGGGAATTCAGGGTTCTCCAGGAGGAGTCGTGTCCAGTTGCTGTTTGCCTTGCCCATGGGTTTCTGTGTTGTCTGCTGATTAGGAATTAGGTCATCAGGTTTGGTTTTATTTTTAAAGAAAGGGGTAAGTTCAAAAGTCTGGAGGTTGCCATATCACTCAGCACAGTGATACGTACGTGAGCGACAGGTCATTGACAAGACAGTCTGGTGTACCACACACATGAAAGCACTCTATTGTAGCCCATTGTTCTGTAAAGAGTGTTTGCAGGTACTGTGCTAAATCCTTTGCATACATTGTCTTACATCATCCTCACACTGAACTTTATACAGGTTAGAATTCCTATTTTAAAGACTAAAAAAAATATATGAGGCTCAGAGAAGTTGAGTGACTTTCCCAAGGTCACACAGCTAGAAATGACAGATCTGGGAGTTTAACCCTGGGCTCTGGGGATGCCAGCTGCACACAGTTAGCATTACTCCCATGCTGCCTCCCTGTCTGTTAGGCTTTGTAGATAGAGCTCCTGATTAGTTTGGTCATTTACAATGATTGTGTAAACCATGATGAAAATGGAAATGATTAAGTCTGGGATCCAGGCCTGTTCTACGTGAATCATCTCAGATCTTGTGCAGTGACTCAAACAGTGGGCTCCGGGGAGTGAAACCGGGCCTGCCTCCAAGGAACTTGCTTGTTCTCAGCTCATTCGACTACTACAAGTCGACGTTTGGAAAGAGCCAGAGGAGACATCAGGAAAAAGATCCTGCAGCTTTTCCTGAAATCCTGAAGTTTTCCTCCACGAAGCAGTAAAGCCGCAAGTGAATGGATTTACATGGCTGTTAAAGACGAAGGAATAGAAGTCAGACAAGTGGGTGGCAGAGCAGGTTTTCCCTTTAACCAAAAGTATTTACGGATATGAATTCTCTCCAGAAACTTGGTGGTGTTCAGGCTATTTCAGGAAACGGAGAACAATCTGAAATAGTAAGGAAAGCCTTGATCCATGTACAAGGTTATTTAATGAGTAAGCAAGGACCACGCAAGAGCGCTCTGCTTGAACCGCATGAGTCATTCTGCACCCTGGAAACGAATGCATACAGAACCCCCAAAGAAAAAACTTGTAAGGACTCCACGAGTCGTTCTTGAGAATGCTCAGTGCCCTCTTAGTCAAAAACTCATCCCAGGATAAAATTCAAAAGTGGATGATGGGCAGATGAAAGAGAACTGCAGCTATCTGGAAATCCTGTGCTGCTCCGAAGGAAGGGCCCGGTCTCGGGGCTTAGCAAGGCCCCTTCAAACAGTTAGAGTTCATCTTTGACTCATGACTTGTGACTGTGGTTGCTGGGGCTGGGGGAGGCGGGGGAGGAAATGAGGGCTGCTTCCAAGGGAGCCAGCAGAGCTAAGCTCGCTGCCTTGGTAGGAGTGGCAGTCTAAGCCTACATTTGCTTCTAGAGAGTCTGGGGCTATGCCAAGCTTTGGGGGCTTTGCTGGGGACCGAGTTCTGGGGTTTACCAGTTCTGCGACATGTGCGGTTCTGGACCCTTGGTTCACCTTTTCTATTGCTGGGTTTTTCTTTATGAAAGAGAAAACTCATCAGAAACTTAAAACCACATGTATGGGATTTTTTGTGGAATTAAGGATATGTAGAATTGGTTTTGAGCCATTTATTAAAAATATGAATAGATTATTTGTATTTATTTATTTATTTGACAGGAAGAGTTGTAGACAGTAAGAGAGAGAGAGAGAGATGGAGAGAAAGGTCTTCCTTCCATTGGTTCACCCCCCAAATGGCTGCTACAGCCGGCGCGCTGTGCCGATTCAAAGCCAGGAGCCAGGTGCTTCCTCCTGGTCTCCCATGTGGGTGCAGGGCCCAAGCACTTGGGCCATCCTCCACTGCCCTCCCAGGCCACAGCAGGGAGCTGGACTGGAAGAGGAGCAACCGGGACTAGAACCCAGTGCCCATATGGGATGCTGGCGCCACAGGCGGAGGATTGACCAAGTAAGCCATGGCGCCAGCCCCATAGATTATTTTTAAACAGATGAGGAGTTTACTGTATCTTCATGAATAGTTAATATTTACAAGAAAAAACTAAAAAAACAACATCAACTGATAAATTCGGTCCCACCAAAGTAAAAATGCAGTGTGATATATGTTGAAATGGAAGTCTGAAATTTCTAGAAAGGATGATAAAGGGAATAGATTCCCAACCCATGTCACAGCAGAGGTAATTTTTTAAAGATTTATTTATTTATTCATTTAGAAAGTCAGAGAGGGAAGTAGAGAGAGAGAAAAAGAGAGAGAGAGAGAGAGATCTTCCATATCACTAGTTCACTCTCCAGATGGCTGCAGCAGTCAGGACTGACCAGGCCAAAGCCAAGGGCCAGGAGCTTCATCCAGGTCTCCCACATGGGTGGCAGGGGCCAAAATATGTGGACCATTATCCGCTGCTTTCCCCAAGCCATTAGCAGGGAGCTGGACCAGAAGTGGAGCAGCTGGGACACTAGCCGGCACCTAAATGGGATGCTGGTGTCACAGGCAATGGCTTTACCCACCCACTATGCCAGCGGCTTTACCCACTATGCCAAAACAGCGGCCTCAGGAGAAGTAATTTTAAGCCATCAAAACTTTAAGGACCTTGAGCTGTTTTCTTCAAACTTGACTTGCCACTGTTTCTGCATCTGTGAATTTGCCAAGTTCAAGTTTATTGCTCTAAGAGGCGGTGAATGATAGTGCATCTCTTTTGAAAAAGTCTGAGTAGTTTTTGATTATTTGATGCAAAGAATGTATGCTTTTGCCTTTTTACATATCTTTCAAAGCAGCTATCCTGATATAAATAAAATCTTTCAAAAATGTATGCACCCCTTTTAGGCTGATACCAACCATTTCGTTCCATGAAAGTCGTGAGTGATGGCTGTGTGCGGCTCTGAATGAAATGGTGTCTCGGCTGTAATCTACGCAGCCAGCCTGTAGATCATCCCTCTGAGTTTCAGAATCTAGGATAAACACAACATTCGGCAAGGCCAAAATGCAAAAACCCTAGGCAACAAAGCAGTGAGCGCAGGCAGGCTCCTGGGACAGGAAGCCACTGGAATCTGGTTGCTAGGAGACACCCGTCTTTGCTGGCAGCAGGAAGATGTCCTTGAGCATGGCTTCCCCTGTGGTTGGCTTTGGACAAGCCATGAATCAGACTCCCAGCAGGGCCGCCCGGCTAACGGTACAGGTGCAGCGGAGGGGCCAGGGTGGCTCCTGGTCACTGGGAGAGTTTCTCATACACGCCCTCTCTTCTGCTGTTCT